AGGGCTCATTACAATCTTTTTAAAAACTATTTGGCCTCTTCAGCATTGATGCAAATAAAAATTAATGAAGTGGGTATATCTTCTTTGTGGAAATTCTAAGTCTCACTCATTAATGTAAAGCTATGCTGGGATCTTTGTGACAGTGTGGCTTTAATATGACGGGGTAAAAAAGAAACAACCAAAATATTTATCAACAAGAGAGTGGTAAATTAACGCATATCCATGTTGGAGAATTCTAGGCAGCTACTGAAAAAACAGGGCAAAGCGCTGCAGAGAAAGAGAGTGAAGGCAAAGCAGCAAGTTGCAGAATATGAACTGGGGACTTAAACTTTTTAAAAAATTAGAACCTATTACAACAGAACATGACCATGTAGATCTTGAGCAGTCGTAGTACAGTGAGAGGAGAAAGAACATGTTGAGTACTAGAGCCCAGCCAAGAAGCAGGTGGAGCCAACCATGTCTCAGCCAGCCTCAGGGAAAAGGTGAGGGGAGAGGGGGAGGTGGTGGCCCTGAAGAAGGCAGCTGAGCTGGCAGTAGGAGCTAGGCAGAGAGTGGCAACTGAAAGAGGAAGGTAGGATAGTTCTTAGTTCTTGTGGGGACTCAATGGCAGCTGAGCAGCCAGTGTGCAAAGCCCAGACCGGGCCAGGCTGCTCCTCAGTCTTGGCAAGAGGCAAGGTACCCCCCTCCATGTGGTCTGGCTGCCCTTCCCAGGCCAGTGAGCAGGAGGGGAGGTGGACTTAACTGGCCCAGCAGAGTTCATTGGCATCCTGGCTGGAGGAATCGGAGGGACAGCCCCCAGCTTTCCTCTATTCCTTCTGTGCCCAGAGCCTCTGTCCCCGGCAGAAGTATGACCTTGGGCCAAGAATGCAATGCTTTGCTTGACATTGTGAGGTCAAGTTCCACCCAGGGAGGGGCAGGAGGATGATCAAAACCATCCTGGGAGGGGGCTGAGGTTGCCTTACATGTACACAGCCCATTTGTGTGGAGTACTCACTGCAAACCAGGCTCTGTGCTTGCATCTGGCCTGTGCTAGTTCACATACTTCTCACTCATTCCTATAACCCTGTGGCACAAGGGAGGAAATGGGGTTTGGTGGCAATGGAATTTGCCTAGTGTCACACAGCTAGTGTATTAGTTATCTAGCGCTGTGTAAGAAGTTACCCCAAACTTACAGGCATAAAACAACAAATATTTATCATTTTGACATTTCCGAGGGACAGGAATCCAGGAGTGTCTTGGGTGATTCTGGGTCTCATAAGGTTGCAGTGGAGATATTGGCCAGTGCTGAGTCATCTGAAAGCTTGCCTGGTGTTGGAGGATCCACCTCTTAAGATTGCCCATTCACCCAGCTGTTGGTAGATGCCTCAGTTCCTTACCAGTGGGGTGCTGGCCTCTTCACAGGGCTGTCTGGGTGTCTTCGTACCTTGGCAGCTGGCTTTCCCCAGAGTAAATGTTTCAAGAGAGAGTACATGCACGATGGAAGCTGCAGTGACATTTATAACCTAATCTTACAAGTTATATAGCATAACTTCACCATATTCTATGTGTCACCCAGAACAGCATTTACGTTTTTAACATGCCCTTTTCAACTTGGCCACAGCTGTCTCTGCAGATCCCAGCTCCCTGTGCTTGGGCTTCTTTCTCCCTCCTGTTCTAAGGGGTGGTGCATTGCAGGGCTTAAACACGGGGCCTGTTGCTGAGTGGTTTGACTGGCCAAAGGTGGGGGAGGGTTGGGCTATCAGAGGAGGGCAGGAGACCTAATTCTGTACAATTCAGCCATAATCTTTGATGGAGTCATGTGCCACTGAGCACGGTACCTCGAAAAATCTCTCATGCGTTTTCCTTCAGAATTAATGGGCCCCAAACTAAAGTGGATAAATTAAATATAAAACCAAATATAACCCTGGCCAGTTTGGCTCAGCAGTTAGAGCATCGGACCGTGGACCAGGGAGTCCCAGACTCAATTCTGGCCAAGGGCATGTACCTCCTGTGGGTGGCAAGCAATTGGTGTGTCCCTGTCACACAGATGTTTCTCTCTCTCTTTTTCTTCCTCCTTCCCTCCGTCCCTCCCTCCCTCCCACTCTATCTGAAGATAAATGGAAAAATATCCTCAGGTGAGGATTTAAAAATAATAATAATAATAAATAATAAATATTTTTAAAAACACAAATATAGGTGAACTTGAAGACAACTGCCACAGAAATGGCACTGCAGAGCTGCCCTTATCTCTGCAGAGTTCAAATGTTATATGTGGGGCTTTGTGTCCACACATATGGATGTAGACGATTCTAAGCTTGATGCTGTGGCAGCCCAGCCCCGAGAACACGTGATCAGACCAGATTTACTACCAAAGCTCAAGTTCAGTCCATGACACTGAGCACTGAGCAGTGAGCCTGAGAATGGACTCAGTCCTGTGGATGCACATTATGGGGTCTGTCCTGGGAGCTGCCAGTGCCACACTAAAGTACAGTCTGCTAGGAGGGAGTCCACCATCATGAGTTCCCAGTCTTAGGAGGTTTGGGGCTCCTGATGCATATTATATCCCAGTGGTTCTCAGCTGGGGCAATTTTTTTCCCCACCCCACCCACTTGGACCCTTGGCAATATCTGGAGAAATTTTGGATTGCCATAACCAGGGAAGGGAGAAAGTATCACTGGCATTTGGTGCATAGGGGAAGGGATTCTGTAATACCCTACAATGAACAGGACAGTTCCTGTTTGAGAAGTCATGATCTATCCTGTAGACTCTACCCTCCCTCCCCCCCAAAAAAGAACCTCACCAAGTGTACAGTGACCAGAGGATTCAGCTGCTAGGAGAGTTTGGTGATGGTACTGTTCTTGGAGATGTTGCCATACTTTTTTCCATATACTTTCTTTTCATATCTAAACTTAACCTGAGCTGATGGTGACTCAAGTAGGGGTGGCTTCTTGGGCAGCCTACCTGGCAAGTGTTTTAAATCAGGGCAGGAGTCACTCCCAGAGCCTCTGAGGGGTGCAAGGCTGCTGGCAAGGTTGTAAATCAGGCTGCCTGTGGAGAGCTGGTCTGGGGAGGAAGCTGTTCCCAGCAAAGAGCAGTTTTCTCTCTGGCTCAGACAGCCCTAGAATGTCACTGAACAAGCCTCCATGTAGACCTGAATTTTCCCCATAATTCATTTATCAATAAGAGGAAACACCAAACTTTATGTACTGAGACCTTTTCACAAAAGGCAAACCTTTATTAACTGTGTAATCCACCCTAGTCTAACCTTCTGGCTGGACGACTATGGATAGGCGTCATTTTGCTGGTGAAAAGTATCACCATCATGGGTTTGATTGGACATTGGCAGTATTACATTTCACAGTATATATTTTTTTCAAATAGCAATAATTGTGCCTCGGATAAACTTCATTGGCTACGATACTGCCACTGTGCAAAGCTTACATTTCGCAGTATTTTAAAGGAGCTGTACATGTTCCTTAACACAAAATCAGATGAGTCAATAGTATGTTAGCTGTCTTTCAGGTTGGTGGCAGTTAGAACAAGTGTAATATTTTCTCCCTGTAACTGTGATGTATAGGCAAAGCAAAAATTTAAAAAATCATGAAAAACAATGCAATTATATTAGGATATACACTTTTGTTTTTATTCTTATATAAGGTTATTTGCTGGCTATTGTTGGCCTCTAATTCAGTCTGTGTTATTTAAAATCTAATATATGGTCCAGCTGGTGTGGCTCAGTGGTTGAGCATTGACCCATGCATCAGGAGGTCCCAGGTTGCATTCCCCACCAGGACACATGCCCAGATTGTGGGCCTGACCCCCAGTGGGGGGCATGTGGGAGGTGGCCAATCGATGTTCTGTCTCATTGATGTTTCTATCTCTCTCTCCCTTTCACTTCCTCTCTCTCTAAAAAAAAAACAAAAAAAACAGAAATCAATAAAGGAAAAAAAAGTTTTTTAATCTAATATATGAATTATCTGGATTGAATTCACACTTGGGGCCAGGTTGTTGTATGTATTGATGTAGACCTTGAATGTGAATAATTATTGTAAACTATATTTTACAACTTTTTCTGGCTTTATTATATACATTTTCTATTTGGTCAATTATTTAATCATATGATTTAATGAATCTGTTCCTCCTTTTTTTTTTTTTTTTATCCTCACCCGAGGACATTTTTCCATTTTTTGTACAGAGTGGGAGGGAGAGAGAGAGGGAAACATCGATGTGAAGGGACACATCGAGTGGCTGTCACCCGCACGACCAACCAGGGCCGTGGACAAACTGCAACCCAGGTACATGCCCTTAGCGGGAACCGAGGCGGGGTCTCTCCAGACGCTCTAACCGCTGAGCCAAACCGGCCAGGGCTGTTCCTCCTTTTTAAAAAATATTTGTGCTTTAGAGGTAGTGGCCAGATGAATTTTTTAAAATTCATTTTTATTTTATTGATTTTTTTAGAGAGAGAGGAAGGAAGAGATAGAAACATTCATGTAAGAGAGAGAGAGACATCCATCGCCTGCCTCCTGCACGCTTTCTACTGGGGCTACAGCCCGCAACCGGGGCATGTACCTTCACGCGGAATCCAACTGGTATATTTCAGTCCAAGGGAGGACGCTCAATCCACTGAACCACAGCGGCCCCGCCGAATTTTTAATTTTACACGTATCTGCGGTAATAAAAAAGCATGTAGAGTGTAGACGATGCCGGTGAAGCTTTTTTTTTTTGCTGCAGTGGCTCTTGGTTGAGGCCTGAGTGTCTGAGTGCCGGGTAGGCCAGCGAGATCCAGCCTCGCGCCAGTCTTGGCCGCGGCACTTCGCGTGGCACTGCGACCAAGCCGCGTCCAACTCGGGCCGGAAGGGGGCACTATCGTCTGTTTTTCCGGACCGGAATTTTCGTGTTTGTAGAGACTCCGGGGCCGGCGCTTTACTAGGGCGGACCGTGGGCGGGACAGAGCTCGGAGGAAGGTATTAAAGGCCGGACGCTTCCGGTGGAAAGGAGCTGTGGCGGGGCTTGCTGGGATCATGGCGGAGAATCACTGCGAGCTTCTACAGCCGGCGCCAGGCGGTTTCGGGGCGGGGTTGGGGGGCGGCCTGTGCCGCCGCTGCAGCGCGGGGCTCGGGACCCTGGCCCAGCGCCCCGGAAGCGTGTCCAAGTGGGTCCGGCTCAACGTCGGCGGCACGTACTTTCTCACCACCCGGCAGACGCTGTGCCGGGATCCGAAATCTTTCCTGTACCGTTTGTGCCAGGCCGACCCCGACCTGGACTCGGACAAGGTGAGGGCCGCGCAGGCCGGCCACGAGGGGCTGGGTCGCCCAGGCCTGCGGCCCGCCGCACAACCCCTGTCCTGTGCTGAAGAGACCCGTTCCGGGCTCGGAGCCCCGCACTCCCCGTATCACTAGCTCGACCCGAGCCCCTAAACTCCCTGCCCTAGGCCGGGGAAAGAGAGGATGGCGCTCTATCGGCTGCTACTGTTGAGGATCCCCAGTCACTCCGCCTTGTATCTCTCTTTCTAGCCCTCACTGCTCTTCGGTGGAGGAGGTTTCCCACATCCTTGACTTTGCCGTGGATCTACTTTCCTTTCCTCTAGAGTCTTTTGCCCCTGGTGTGTCAACGTCCCAGTGTAGGGCTTGGAATCGGAACCCTGGCGTTCTTCACTTTTCACATTCCAGACGTTTGACTTAATGTTGGCACGGGGGCGTTGACACGGTGGCCTTCCTTTCCCAGGGACTTGCATTTAGAGAATTGGTGCTCCATGGGTTTCAGCCACAACACGCACCCCCCTCAGCACTCTAAGAAGGTGCTGTCCGTGCATTGAATATTTCAAAGGCACTGTTGTTCATGTTAAGGGGTGGATTAGGGATGTCAAGGAAGGACCAGGTAGGAAATCTTTTTCAGTCTGCTTTCTAATTATGCTAGTTTTCCCACTGCCCTCACAAAAGGATAGGAATGTCTGGGTTGGTTTGCAGCTTATCTTCGTATAATGTATTGCTCACACTGTTGTTCCCGATAGTAATAGAAATTAAATTATTTTGTTGATTACCTTTACAAGACTGTGGCTGAGGAGGAGTATCTCAGAAGCTGTACAACTGTACTGGATTGAAACTCAGAAGAGAGTCTGTTGGAAAAATAGTTATTACCTATATTTATCCTAGAGAATTCACAAGCCTTACTCATACTTTCCTGGGTCTTTCAGTTGGGCCAACATAGCAGCACTTGGCTTTATTTCTTGCCAGTCCAGCATTTGCCAGGCATAAGGCTTCCCAGAAAAATTCACATCCTTCAAGTTTGAGAAACATGACAGAGCCCATGCGCAGGGTGGCATGACTATGATCAGGAAATGAGAACTCTTGAGTTACTGCAAAACCACCACTCATGGAGAGAAATTAGAGTTTGAGATGCCAGCCTCTGTCTCCCTCCCCCCACTCTTCAGCTATTTCCATTGCTCATTGGACTAAGCTGTGTAAGGGAATTGACCTCCCAGAAAATGACAGTCATATATGCTGGATAAAAATAGGCTTTTGTGAGCTATGATTTTCCTTTTATAGTGTGGGTGTATGTTGTTCTGTTTTGTTTTTCTTTTTAAACAGTGCATCTTAGTGGTCATTCACTAGCATTTCTACTCCAGCGTTCTGTTTTGTATATTGAGTTCGATTTTAAATTGCTCTTGTCCATTGGGTTGTCTGAGGCAATGGCTGGCTAGTCAAAACTGAAACAGTTGATTCAGAGCCACTTAACTATGGCTTGCATAGTTAAATTGATTCATCCCTTTATTTTACTGTTCAAGACTACTTTTATAAAGTATGCTTGCCCTGGCCAGTTTGGCTCAGCGGTTAGAACATTGGCCTGCAGTCCAGAGAGACCCGGGTTCGGTTCCTGCTAATGGCGCTTGCCTCAGTTGCAGTTTGTCCCCAGCCCTGGTTGGTCGCGTGGGTGGCAGCCACTCGATGTGTCTCTTTTAGCGTCGATGTTTCTCTCTCTTCCTCTCTCTGCCTCCCACTCTATCTGAACAAAAAATAGAGAAATGTTGTTGGGTGAGGATAAAAAAAAAAAAAAAGGTATGCTTTACTGTAATAGGAGTCCTCTGAGGTAGGGTAATTAATCTATCAATATATCTGTGTTGTTGCTTTTCCAGTTACCAACTTAATTGTATTGGTTTTCTAAAATGTAAAACAGAAATATAGAACATGAAGGTAATATAGCGGTTACAGTTCCTGTCTCATAAAATAGTTGATAGTAAATAAGAGTTAGTTTTAGTCACAGATTTTGTGAATTTGCCAGAAAGAGTAATGTTAATTTCCGTTAGTCATAGTAGTAGGGATTTTACTTCAAATGAGAAAATGTATAAGATACTTGGTTTCTTCAGGTTTTTCCCTGTAGGTTCTGAGGAAAGAATGTCCCAGAGCCCTGGCCTGGTGTGGCTCAGTTGGTTGGAGTGTCATCTTGTACACTGAAAGGTCTCAGGTTTGATTCTTGGTCAAGGCACTTATTCAGGTTGCAGGTTTGATCCCTAGTCGGGGTGCATAGGAGAGGCAACTGATGGATGTGCCTCTCTCACATCCATGGTTCTCTCTCTCTCCTTTTCTCTCTCTATAAAATCAATCAAACAGATCCTCAGTGAGGATTTTTAAATTTTCTGAGGAAAAAGGAATGTCCCAGAGATTCACACTTAGATAATTAAACCCTGAGTGAGGAATCCGAGGATTAGGGAGGAGAGGGAGGATGTTTGGAGGAGTGGAACACCAGTAATTACAATGGAAGAGAAACAGGATGTTGATTCACAGGTAAAAAGCTAAGCCCTGACCTCCTAGTTAGATGAATGAAAGCATATCTGGCAGATAATCCTAGGGCTGAAGCTAAGTGTGGGCCTGGTGGAAGATTTCCTGCAGGGCATTTGCCTATGTTGATTGAGGACCTGGGCTTTTAGAAGGTGATGCTGGGATAGGGGTTGGGTGGGGAGATTTAAGGGGCAGGAGTTCCAAGACATGGAAGACCTGGAACCTCTCAGGAACCTAATGGGTTTGGAGTTCACTGGGAGAATGCCTGTGGCCTGTTGTTAAACAGAGTGTCTGGTGTGGCGCTCAGTCGATGAAGCCAAATGGGAGAGAAGTTACAGGACGTTTTCTGATAGGGTTCTTTGGTTTTGTTTTTTTTTTAAATATGTTTTTATTGATTTTTTAGAGAGAGAGGAAGGGAGAGAGAGAGAAAGATCAATCAGCTGCCTCCTGTACGCCACTGGGCATGTGTCCTGACCGGGAATCGAACTGAAACCTCTCAGTCCATGGGACAAAACTCAATCCACTGAGCCACACCAGCCGGGCAGGAGGAGTGCTTTTTAAGAACTGGACAGACAGGTAGTTAGGGAGGGTGGGGTGCCGGGCTACTGCTGGTCCCTCTCCCCTTAAGTCTTCACATTCCCTGTGTCAGGACCGAGCCTGGGACCCACTGCCACCATCCCTCAAGACCCCCAGTTCTCACCCTCTAATCTCAAGTTCTGACTCTGGGCCCATTGCCACCATGAAGTTCTCTTTATGGACAGGAAAAGTTCTCTTTTCCTCTTGGGGGTTCCTCCATCTGGGCTGAGTTGGTGTTGATCATTTCAGCTGTCCTGGGTCATTTTTCTCTCCCACATTCCCTTAGGGGCAGGCCAGGTGTAACACTCCTTCCCGGAAGTGCTTCATGAATACTTGATGTGTGATTCATTTTGGTTATGTCCTTTTGTATTTCATGGGGCCTGGCCCATAGGTATTGTTGAACAGGTTAGGCCTTGTTTAGAGGTGAATCAGCCCGTTTCAGTGTGGAGATGGTTTAGGAGTTTAAGGGTAACAGTAAATATGACTGCTTATTGATGGGTAACCACTCAGATAAAGATCGGAGGGGAGTTTGGTCTCTGCAGCTGAGCCAGGCCTGGAGAAAACTGGGTTGCCCATTTGCTTTGTCCTCTGATGAGGCCATTGTCCTGGCTTCGGGGTAGCAGATTCTGTGTCTGATGGGTTTTGAAGGGTGGGGCCAGCACGGTGCTTCTGGTGACATGCCCCTTGCAGTTCTTTGCTTGTGCTCACTCCAGGTGTACTTGGTGTTGGCAAGAGTCTTGGGATTGGAAAGGCAGTGAAAGGAATTTTATAGACGGGGCCAAGCGATGGGAGTATGGGGGGAAGTATGACATTTTAAGCCACTTGGCAAGGGAAGGGGGGATTCTAGTGATTGGAAATGACAGATTATGTTTGGTGTAACTAAATCAGAGGTGAAGGGATAACTTGCCCAATTCTGAATGTCTCATGCACGGATGAGGGAGCTGTGCGCCAGCCTGTCTGAAGCTATGAGTGGGTGTCCTGAGACACCGGTGCACGTCAGTTCACACTTTGCTTGAGGATGTGGCTGTGGGTATGTTCTTAGCCCTGACCACACTGGTGGTTTGTTCAGGACCTGAAGGAAAGGTCCCCTTGTGTGCTGGGAGCAGCTCCTCTCCTCCCCTAGTAGGGCAGGTGCTTGCTCCAGTGAATGCTATGGTCACCTCTTCACAAGGAGCTAACTTGAAGGCTCCTCTGACCTGAGCCAACCCAAGATTTAATGCTGGAAAGTCCTAAAAAAGAGTGAGAAGAGCTTGCTTCAGGGCATCGGCCCCCAGACCATCAGCTGTCCCACCCTCAGTCATCTGAGGGTGGCCTGGGAGGAAGTGGTGTCAGCTGCACAGCAGTTCCTCTTTCTGCCGAATGCACATGCACCCTTCAGCCGCTCTCCTCCAGCAGGGCAGTGGCGGGTCTTGGTTTAGAGCAGTGGTCCCAATACTGTGGTCCAGCAGATTTTGCAAATAGTTACTGTAGGGGAACACAGAGATGCCTGCCTGTGGCCATGTTGTCAGTGGCTGCTTTCACCTGTGAGTGGATGCTCAAAGCTGCTCTTTTCCAGGGGCTCTCCAGGTCAGCAGTCTTTCAAGTCCTCTAAAGGAGCTGACGACTGCTTGGCACCAAAGGAGGGGTCTGTGTGGCCAGGGTGCCAACAAGCCACCTTGAGCACCAGTGCTCTCACCAGGCCTTAATTAAGCAGCTCTCCCCACAGTACTGAGCACCCAGAACATTCCAGTCTGGAATTGGTAGGATGTGGGTATCTTCCCTGTTGGTATCCTGGGCTTGACTTTGACCCTACCCACAATTTAACTGGCTGTGTGGCTTGGGGTAAGTTAAAGTACCTCTCTAAGTCATGGGAGGCATTGTGAGCACTAAGGAAGATGATGAATGGAACACCTGCCCCTCCGAGAGCTTGGAGCTTGGTTATT